CTTTACTTCATAATATATTCAGAGTGAAAAAAATATAATGGATTTTTCTGAGATATTCAATTAGCTCAATAAAAAGAGAAAAATAATTTTTCAATAAAGAAATTTAGCCAAATGACTAAAGCTGACAGTGAAAAACCAACTTCAAAGTAATTACGCATTTCTTTGGAGTTCTTGCTCTCACAAAAGTTGATGACGTGCCACTATTAGAAATAGCCGTCCTTCTGATGAGTAATTACATTTGTGTTCCTATTGGAGCAGATGTTTATTTGAATGTTTACTCTGAAACCATCTTGGAGTGTTGAAACATTTCAGTTCCCCCCAGCCTGCATAGAGAATGTCTGTCCTCCCTGCTCCGCTTCCTTCAGGCCAGTTTCCTCCCCATTAACCGATACTTCTTCCAAGAAGACACCAGGGGCAGTGTGTGCAAAATCTCCCTGCTGCTTTTGCTACTCACCCTATAGGGTGCACATGTATTTAACTGTTAATCCTCTTGCAAATGACCTCCCTTTTGTCTTCTACAAAACCATCCTCTAGCCTTTAAGCTTTGGGCTTTGGCAGGGCTCCGCCTCTCTTGCGTCCTGCACATTCACCTTGGGGAACCTAGTTTTCCAGAAAGCTTTCGAAAGCATCTACCCAGTGACAGCTCCCCAGCCCCTAACTCAGCTCCACATTTCTCCTAAGCTGCCCACTTCTACCTGGTGCCATTAGCACAGTCAAAGCTGGTCTGGTGGTCCTTCCATTGCCCTCTGCTTTTCCTCCGGCAGCCCCGTGTGCACACCTAACCCCCAAGGCCAGGTGTTTCCCTCCTGTTCAACCTTCCTATGCGGTGACCTGCTTAGCCCATTGTGTCTCCCTGCCAACAACATCTTCATTTCCTATCGATACAGCTGCCTGTGTTCTGGAAACCAGTTAGATCAGACTGTCACACACTCCTCCTGAAAATCCTCTGGTGGCTTTATGAGACCCACAGAACCAGCATGACTCCTTGTTGTGACCACCAAGGTCCCCAGGCCCCACCAGCCCTTCCAGCCTAGCCCCTTTGCCATCCTCCAATGTGCCCTGCTGTGAAGGAGCACCCAGCCCCACAATGGCGCCTGGTGACTTTGAACTGACAGCCACTTAATGGGGGCTTGGGCGCCAGCAGATCTGAGCCTTTGCAGGACTCCACATGATCCTCCCTGTTTCTTGTCACCTCCAGGGTTCTGCGGGCTCTGGGGCTTCCTGTCCACCCCCTCAGGGCACAGCTACAGGCCATAAAACTGCCCAGAAGCAGAGTGAAGTGGCTCTTTGGCCACGTAATTTCATTCGTGCTGCAGCTGTATGGTATCAGCTGCCCGAAGGCCACAGTGTCCACACTGCCTGTTCTGTCCATGTAAGTAGGAAAGGGTCTGAGTGTAGAAAGGGCTGGTAGCTGCTTCACTCACACCTGTGCTCTCCCTTCAACCAATCCTCACTGTTCTTCTAAGTCCCATGCTATTCAATAGCTGAAAACTCACTGTGCATCTCAAAAAGTAAATATAGGAAAGAGGAGGGAGGTAAGGGAGACGGGGTAAAGGAATCAAAAATGGTCAGGATATGTCACATGCACGCACCAGTTTCCAAAAGGAACATCAACATTACGTACTGTAAACATACACTAATAAAAGAAAAAGAAAACATCCTGTATCTCCTTAACAAAATGTTACAGGAGCATTGCAGAACTGTATTTGTTCAGGACACTAGACTTAGGCAGTATTTCGATAGTTCGATAACCCACTTACCTGAGTCCCTTGTTGGTGGACACTCCCGGGGAATTTAAAGTATGTGCTATTACAGTGCCGGGATTTCCTTTGAATATGTGTCTCCACATGCAAGGAGCACATCCAAGGGGAAAGTGGTAGACAGAGAGAGCTTACAGTCTGAGATGTGAGTTGGTCTTGTAGTACTACTGAGCTTCTCCAAAGACTATTCATTCCTTCCTACCCTTCTCAACTGTGAGTCTGCATTTCCCTCCCTAGGCAAGGTATTCTGAGAAGAAAAACATCACTTCATTGTTTTAAATTGCATCTTAAAAACAGGAATCTGAATATTTCATATTGACTGCTTAAATTCTCTGCCTTCCTTTATCAAATATTTCTTCTTACTTTATAGAAATGCCTAACAAACAAACTGTGGCAATTCAGTTTGTACTAGAAACGATCTCTTCTAAATGTAAGTTTTATAGGGATGAGTTAGTCAACCTTTGCCGATAAATAAATAAGAGATAAAATAAAGTCTGGTTAAGTGCAAACAGGAATAAGAAAGGGGAAATGGAGCTGCAATTAGGTTAGTACTGTAACACTGCTGTGTCAAATTACAGCTGCTCTCCAGCTTGTGATGAGGTTATGTCACCATAAACTCAACAGAGGCTGAAAATATCATAATCCAAAAATGTATTTAACAAACCTAAACCATCATAGCTCAGCCTGTTCCACCTTAAATATGTTAAGAACAGTAACATTAGCATACAATTGAGTAAAAACCTCTAACACAAAGCTTTTTATAATAAGGCTTTGAATATCTTGTGTAATTTAAGTGCTGCACGGAAAGCAACAAACAGAATTTTTGGATGGGTACACATTGGCGCCGTCATACAGCTGAAAACGCATTGAGTTGAACCATCATCAGTTGGGGACCATAGGTATAGTACAATAATTTTATAGGGGTGCATCAAATCTTTTGGGGAGTAAGGTAAATATGCACACTTACAAATCTGTGGTCTACAAATCTGGCTCTAACTTTTCTAAATTAAAATTAGAAACCACTAGTGAATGGTTTTTCCAAGAACAAACCTCTAATGAACAGATGATACAAAATGAAACGGGGCCAGGGACATAGCTCAGTGGCACAGCACCTGCCTGGCAAGTGTAAGGCCCTGAGTTTGGTTCCCAGTACCAAAAAAAGACATAGGGAAAACTGAAGTCAATTTGAGCCTTGTTAACATTAAACACCCTTTTCTATTTATTTTATTTTTTCTTGCTGGGAGCTGAAGCCAGGGCCTCATGCATGCTAGGCAAGCACTCTATCACTAAGCCATATCCCCAGCTCTGAACAGCCTCCCTGTAAGTGAAACACATTATTAGATTAGTGATTATAAGGGCTTTTAAAAATAATATTCCTTAAAGTGGAAAACATTTCAGAAACTAACAGAAATATTAAAGACAAAGGGCTTTAAAAATAAAGCCCAGAGATTATGTTATGATTGCTTCTCCTGCCCCCATGGCTGGCAGGTAACTTTATTTCTCATCACTTGTCCACTGTCTAAATTGTCCTTGTCATGTGGACCCATCATCTCTGACCTACTCTGCCCCAGGAAGGAAGGCCCTGCCCAGGTCAGACCTTTTGCTCCTTCGTTAACTCCCTACTTCTGGTTGAGCTGCTCCAAAGCAACCTGAGCTCCTGCCATGGTATCTCCATCCTCCCCATAGTGCAAACAGATGAGAATCCCTGGCTATGTACATACAAGTTTTAATTTGATAAACAAGGAAAAGCTGACCTTGTCATCCTCAGTCTTTTAGTGACTTTCGGTTTCTATGACTTTGTACAAGAAGGTTAGCATTGTAAAGACAAAAGATTAAGCCTGAAGAACTTCAATCAGCAATCTCATATATATTTTTTAAAGGCTTCATAAACCGCCAAACTTCATACCAAAATGCAATCTATTATTGCCATTCCTGATTGAAATTGTTAATAATATTTTTGTATTTTTATTTTACAAAAAAATAAAACACATTTTTATAACCAAATAGTAAGAGAAAAGCAACAGTTATTACAATGTGCACATTATCTTCAGAGTAGTTACTCAGTACAAGACATATAAGCCAGAAAGATTCTTACAAAAAAGAAACCAACAGTAACACAAACTTACTTCTCAGTGAACTAAGGTAAACTTTTAGTATAAATGAAACAAATTAGCATACATATATTAAAATATTTTTAAAACAACAGAACATATAATTTGGGAAAGTATTTGGCCTTCTCCCTGCTTCTTATTTATCTTTCTTCTATTTTGCTGTGTGTGTGTATTTACATATGCCAATCATAGTGCATCTCATATAAGAGAAGCACTCAATACATAAGCTTGTGTGTCTGACTTATCTCACTTAACATTATGTTGGCAAGGTGCATCCATTCTCCTGCGAATGCCTTAAGTTTATCTTTCTTTATGGCAGCGTAGTACTCAGTTGCGTGTAAATACCACATCTCCCTTATCTATTCATCTGTTCATGGACATATACTTTGTTTCCAAGGCTTAGCTATTATAAATTGTGCTGCTATAAATGTGGATGTGTATGTATCCCTGTAATATGATGGTTTAACTGTTTTGGGAAGATACCTAGTAGGAAGACAGCTGATTCAAATATAATTTCTACTTTTCTTTTCTTTTTTTTTTTTTTGGTACTAGGACTCGAACTCAGGACTTTGTGCTTGCCCGGCAGGTGCTTGAGCCACTGAGCTATACCCTGGCCTTCCTTTTCATTTTTTGAGGAATCTCCACACTGATTTCCATAGTGGTTGTACTAGTTTCCATTCACACCAACATTGTCATAGAGTTCCTTTCTCCCCACATCCTCACCAGCATTTGTTATTTTTAGGTTTTTTGATGATAGCCATTCTTTCTGGGATAAGATGTTATCTCAGTGTAGTTTTAATTTACATTTCTCTGGTGCCCAGTGATAACAAGCATTTTTTATGTATTTATTGGCCATTTGTACTTCTGAGAAGTATCTATTCGTTTCAGTTGCCAATTTTTTGACTGGATCTTTTATTTGGGAGTATAATTTTTTCAAGTACTTGCTACATTCTTGACATTAGTCCTCTGTCCAATGAATAGCTGGCAAAAATGTTTTACTATTCTGTCTCTGAAACTGTTAATAATATCAAATCCACGATGTACTAAGTATGCACTGCAGAAATTACTTTCTGGTAAATTACCTTCTGGCTATTCTGGTCACACCCTAACGTCCTTCCCGTTCCCACAGGCAACCCTCCCGCCACGGGCACAGGGACTTTGCTGATAACCCTGGAAGACGTGAACGACAACGCTCCCTTCATCTACCCCACGGTAGCCGAAGTCTGCGATGATGCCAAAAACCTCAGTGTGGTCATCTTGGGAGCATCAGACAAAGATCTGCACCCAAACACAGATCCCTTCAAGTTTGAAATTCATAAACAAACCGTCCCCGATAAAGTTTGGAAGATCACCAAGATCAACAGTAAGTCCGGGTCAAACGCTCTGCCCTCATCTCTGCTTTGAACTTCATTTCTTTCCCCAAACCCTTTCTCTCCTGCTCTCCTGTGTGTTCCCACACCATTTAGGTTACTCACATATTGTAAAGACAGTTTCCCTGCCAGCAAATGAACACAGTCTGTAGAGGTACTGAAGATCAATTTCTTATAAGTGCAAACTATATGCCCTCCAGTGCCCACCTCCAGATGCCCTCTGTACCATATACTTGATGCTGTATGCTCAGACCTCTGCATTCTCCCGATGCATATGTAGCCTCTGCATTTCTGCCACGCTGGAGCAGCCAGTCACAAGGTGATGATTCTCTGTCTTCCTCTCTGCTTTTTATTTTAATTAAACTCCACAGGTTCTCTTTGTTCCTGGCTTGCTCAGAACATTGGCCAACCAGCCCAGCCTTCGGCCTTTGAAGGCCAAGCTCACTGCTTCCCCCACAAGGGTCTCCGGCTCCGCTGTCTCCTCTCTCAGAGCCAGAGAACTGTATCTACCTGGGCTTTTGCCAGAGCCTTGGAGAGCTCTTCCATGGTTTGCCCACCTTCATGAAAGACGGCAGCATGGGGGTGTGTGGGCATCAGAAGCACCAATCTTTCATGTATGTGACAGGCCTCCCCAGACTGAACCTCGTCTGTATGATGACCTTGCCTTCACTGAAGACTGTGACATTCTTCCTTGCGTCCACTCTCTCATTTATGAGACTTCTTTCCCAGTACCAAGAACTAAACCCAGGCCCTTCACACTAAGCTACATCCCCAGTCCCTTTTAATTTTTTTTTTTTTTTTGAGACAGGGTCTAACTAAGTCACTAAGTTACCCAGTTGGGCTCAAACTTGCAATCCTCCTGCCTCAGCCTCCCAGAGTGCTGGGATTATAGACATGCGCCACTACACCTGGCCTCATTTATGAAACCTGCCGTGCAATGTCTCTCTCCCAGTCTTTCCACACAGGCAAGTGGAATTCAAAATTTGACCCAAAATTCCCAGGCTCTGCCTTATGAACTTCGAAGTATTCCTGTATCCACAGCACCTCTCCGCTCTCCTCCCCAGCTGCACTAAGTCTGCCTTGTCATTCAGAAAAGCAAACCAAAACAAAACAAAAGCAAAAGCACCCTGGTTAGTGCATCAGACACCCTCGATCTTCGGCGATGGCTGGACATGATGCCCTGCTCCTCACCTGCTCGGTCTCGCTGTTGCATCCACAGAGGGATTTCTGAGGGGGACAGGGATGCTCCTTTTATTACACTTTGAACAAGTCTTATATGATTGTGCGTGAAATCTTCCATTAAGAAATCTCATATCTATTGTTACAGGCCTATCTCATATCTTATAAGTACCTTTCTTATGATCAATCCTGTTTGCCTGTTTGTCTCTTTTATTGCTTTTTGCAGAATAAACTCTTCATGTGCATCATTTTTAATGACAGCAGCTCTTCCCTGGGCCAAGGGCCTTCGTGTTTTCTTTGTTGGTTTCTACGGCTGCAAGGTGTGAACAATCATTGGCATTCCTTCCAACTGGAATGTTCCCATCCAAGAGGGGAGAAGGCAGGAATTGTGCCTTGAGTTAGTCTGTGGTCCCACAGGGCAGCCGTCACATTGTTGTGTCCATGTCCTCAGCCTCATTCTCCCTCCTGGTTTTGTTAGTTAAATGGCTTCTAAATTCTCTCTGCTGTGCCAGTCTTTTTCCCAGAAAGAAGCTGTTTAACAGGTCAGGGCCAACCACGTTGGCACATGCCCATTAATGCCAGCACTCCCAACTGCTGAGGCAGGAGGATCACAAGTTCAAGGCCAGCCTGGGCTGCACTGTGAGTTTAAGCCCAGCCTGAACTTCGTAGTAAGACCCTATCTCCAAAAAAAAAAATCCCCTGTCATCTGAGTGGCTGAAAGGAGCCTAAGCCAAGACCAAGGAAAAGGAGAGGGGCACTTCTGAGTAGTACCAGGTGGCCAGGGTAACAGAGGGTCCCACTGCACACGGGCTTAGGGGAACTGGGGGGGAGCTTAAAGATCCAACTTCCTAGCCCCAAATCTAGGGCTACGGCTTAACGATTCAACCATAACACAGTTTATAGAGCTCACCTCCATGACAAAACACAGGGGTCTGTCCTGCGCAGGTTAGGGGCCGTGGCTTTTCACGTTCACTCTCCCGACGTGAAGAATGCGCTTGGTAGGTGGAGCAAGTCTGGAGGAGCACTGCTCAGTACTTAGTGACTTTCACGACAGTGGGTCTCCTGGAAATTGATTCTTACAGAGCAGAACCACAGGACGGACATGCAATGGTGGAAACACCGTGTCACTGCTCCGTGCCACACAGGAGCCACCAGCCTCGGGTGGCACTGGGCATCTGAAATGTGGCTTCTGCCACCCAGGAACTGAACTGATATTTTTACTTGACATTAATTAATTTAAATTCTAACTGTCTCTGGTTGTAAATTAAAATGCAGCGCCCGTGGTGCGCAGTTTCAGTCGCTAGGACCTCCGGGTTGGCCCAGAGTTCTGTCTTCCCCTGTCTCATGGGGGCCTTTGTCTTCCAGATACGCACGCCCTGGTGAGCCTTCTGCAGAACCTGAACAAAGCAAACTACAACCTGCCCATCATGGTGACAGATTCAGGGAAACCGCCCATGACGAACGTCACAGACCTCAGGGTGCAGGTGTGCTCCTGTAAGAACTCCAGAGTGGACTGCAACGCGGCGGGCACCCTGCACATCAGCCTCACCTCGCTCTTGCTCCTCACGCTCCTCAGTTTAGTGTGTGAGTTCGCCCAACCCCTCACGGGTACAAGTATGAAAGTGAACATCACCCCAGTCACAGACCCCTTCTGTTTCCTGTATAGTGTTCCGAGAAAATTGGTCCCTCAGGAAACATTCACCTGTAGTTTTTGTGCTTGTGCAGGAGAAAATCTTACACGTAGAAGTCCTCCAGCTAATGTTTAAAGGCATTTTAAGAGCCCCCTGCTGGCCCCTCAGAGGAACTGTGCCAAAGCACTCTGCTGTCCTGCAAAGTGGAGACAGTTGCAGAATTCTTCCCAAGCACCTTGATTTGAGCTAGTAAAAACGTTCCCAGATTGGTGAACTAGTCCTCCACGGGGCTATTTTTTTCTGCATTGTGCAGCATAATACTTTTACAAGGTTAAAGTAGATATTATGCCTTTCTAAGAACAGTCGTGAGAATTCACAGATGGAGGTTGGGCTATAAGAAAAGATAAATTTAGTCAGGCATGGTGACACACACCTGTAATCCCAGAATTCTAGGAGGCTGAGGCAGGAGAATGACAAGTTTGACCCCAGGCTGGGAAACAATGACTTGGCAAGACCCTGTGTCATTTTTTTTAAATTTTGTTTTAAAAGGCTGGGGATGTGGCTCAATGGGAAGACCCTGGGTTCAACCCCTAGTACCTTACCAAAAAACAAAAGATAAATTTATAATTCATGCTTTTTCACTAGCTAATAGTACTGTTATATAATGAAATATTTAAACAAATGGATCATTACACTGGGTAATATAAATGTAAACATATGAGTAAGTACTTGTCAGATGTTTTCCATGTTTGCAATAATAGTTCAGTCTTAACCTTAGCAATATTAGCTCTTGCCATCAAAGGCCTGTGGGGCCTTAGTATTTGCATTTTGGGAACTCCTCGCTGTAATTTTAAATTCAGGAGTTAGAAATGCACAGAAAGAGAGGACAAAGGCATTATATCCCAGTGACAGTCACACATTTCAACACCGGACACCCTCTGTGTATAAAGCTCCCTGGATGGGTCAGACACCCGTGCAAAGAACTGAGAAAGGGAAACCCAGCCATGGCTCCCTGTTCCTGCACATTCCACACTGCCCCAGAGCAAGTCACCTTCCCTGCCCAACCTGTCTCTCTGCCCAAACTGCTCTGATGACCACGCCTTCACCATCACCAGCACCGTCATCCCATCACCATCATCCCACACCCTCCAGCCACAAATTCCAGTGGATCCCAACACCTAAGCCCTGCACCATCCCTGCGCCCACTCCCACTGCAGCCCCTTCTGTCTACGCTAGCTGGTTCCCAGCCCCATGCCTGCATGAGAACGTAGGGAAAGGCAGTAGAAATCAAGAGGCCTCCCCACTGGGGGCCCCATGCGTCTTCCGTGGTAATGTAGGAGACAATATCATCCACAGAGCATGCAGGGGTAGAGATTGTAAGGGAGGAAACAACCAGGCTTCACAAGAGATAGTCACAGGGTTACAAAAGAGCAGAAGTGGTCCAGAGTACCGTGGGTTTACAGCAACACCTTCACTTGATGCTGACAGATTCCTAGCCCTGGATTCCTAGAGTCTAGAACAGTTCCCTTGTAAGCAGAAGCTCCCTGGTGCTGGCTTTCCTGGCTGATTTGCTATAGTCATCACTATAGCCCTAGGAGGTCACCCTTTATGTACTGACTGCGCAGACAAGAGTGGATCTCCACTCTGGTGCACAGGAGTCCGCCAGGGGGACTTCTAAGTACATTCTACCTACACCTGGACCCTGTTCCAATGGAAACCCTGTTTCTGGAGGTGTGACTCAGATATTTGCCCATTTTAAAGATCTGTTGGGCGACTCTAAGGCACTAGACAGTTGAGACCACCCTCGTGAGTGAACTGTCCTAGAACAGAGGCTCCTGGACCTTATCACAGCAAGCCCTGGTCTTCTCCGCCTTTGGAACACATGCTAGTTCCCTCGGTTTACTGTTCAGTGGGAAAAGGGAGCAGGAAGGTGAATTTAAGAATATGAACTTGAGGATACTTAATATGGATGGTGCTCAGAAAGAAACCTCAAATCCTGGCAGGGGGCAGCAAATCCACCATCAGTTGTTATGGATGAAACAACACCAGCAGGGTGGAGATTTCTGTGGCATCAACCTACCAAAAATGCATCTAAGAAGCTTATAGAATTAAAACCTGTATAAAACAGGAAGTTTTATGTTTCTTTGAGGCAGGGTCTTAAACCTCATCACACCAGCCAAATCTGGTCCACAACCCATTTTTATAAATAAAACTTTATTGGAACACAGCCATGCCCATTCCCTGACATGCTACCTGGTTGCTCTCTGCTACAATGGCAGAGGTGAGTAACTGGAACAGACACTGTATGACCTGCAAAGCTGAAAATATTTACTATCTGCCCCTCCACAGAAAAATTTTGCCAGCCCTTGCTTTAAAGCATTATCTGTAAAACTTCAGTGGCTGTAACAGCAGATCCCATCATACAGTATGGGAAGGAAAGATGGGGTTTCTCTTCCCCCCAGATAATATTCAGATCTGAGGGGCTACCTTTAACCAAGCACCCTGATGTTTGTGGTTTTCTTATCTATTGGCCTGTGGTTTGACCCCACTTTATAGATGAGAAAACTGGTACTCAGAAAGCTCCCCAGGTGAGTAAGCAGGAAAACCAGCTTTCACCCTCAGACCGCCTCCTGTATGGAAATAAATGATGAAACATTTGCATTTATTGTGGTACTGGAGATGGCTTTATTGCAACTGAGAATTGAATCGCAGGATCGTCCCATCCTTTTTTGACATCTAAAAATAAAAGAAATAAAACTAATGGCACTGAGAGTAATAAAAAATGTAAATGGAATTATTGTTACTGTCAATTCTGCTATGTAAATTACATGCTGGTGGCATTAAGGGGATGCATAATTCTTCCCTCGGTGCCCACCCAGTGCAACAAACCATGCCTTATTAAATCGCATCTATAGTTTACCAGCCCGGCTCTGAGCAGTTCAATGCAGGCAAGTCTTAGGAAGAGAGTTTTTGACTATTGCTTCAGGCTGAACTAATCAGAAATAGCAAGAATAGAAAAAGAAGATCAAGTGAACCATTTTAACAAGAACAAAATTAAATGTCTCTATTTTGGGGGGATGGTGGGAAGCTTCTAAAGAACAGTCTCCATTCCATAGAATTTAAAGAGGCCACCAAGCTGAGTCAAAGGCAGCCACTAAAATATTTTTGTTTTATTGTATAAAGGTATCACTTGCCTACAGTCAGACCTGCCAGGGTACGCGCACAATGTGATGGATTTTGGTGGCTGCAGATGTTGTGCAGCCGCGCTCCAATCCAGACAGCCCCTAAGCTCCCGATCCCGCCTCACCCAAGCCCCATACTGGTCTGCTCCCCTAGGATGCTTTTGCCCTTTCTAGAGTTTCCTAGAGTGTGCCGATATTTGGTTCCTTTGGGGGGATGGTGGGAAGCTACTAAAGAACAGTCTCCATTCCATAGAATTTAAAGAGGCCACCAAGCTGAGTCAAAGCTGATATTTGGTTCCTGCCGATATGTGTGTTCCTTTGCATTGTGGGGAGAGACCCTAAGCAGAATGGGCCGTCCTCTTCCTGCAGATGGCCCTGAGTCTACTCTGCAGAGAAGCTGTCGCCCCTAACGCAGTACAAGGACAGTTGTGGACAATGAGAGTTGACCCTTGAGGGATTTACGTGCCACGCACATGCAAGCTCAGAGCTTTACATAAATTATATAGATTACCTCGTGTAATCACCCCAGCAGCTCCCGGAGGGAGGGTCATTTACATTATAGCTTAAATTGACTTAAAACAGGAATCAGAAACTCTAATTTGAAAACAAAGGGCTAGAGACTCATTTAGTGGATTTTATACAGTCCAATTTTTTTAACCCATTGACCCCTGAGGGACAGTTGGAAATGTCTAGAAATATTTTCCATTATCATGACAGAGAGGAGGCTACCAGTGGCATCTAGTGGATAGCGGCCAGGGATGAGGCTGGGTGTCCTCCCACGCACAGAGGTCATCCAGCTGCAAATGTCACTGGTGCAGCTGTCAAGGATTCTTGCACTGGTCTCTAGCAAAAACTAGGTATTGGAAGCATTAACCAAAAATATAGATCTATAAATCGTTGCAGCATCCTGAAGATCAATGACTATTGACATTTAAAAAACAGAAAAGACCACTTACCAAAGCTAACCTAAGAGAACATCTGAAAGAAAGTTCTTCAGCAATACTCCGAATTTTACAACTGTCTTGCCAGTTGGCTAATGAGACCCGATGGCTGCAATACTGAAAGTACGGCTTCAGCCCACAGCAGGGCTGAGTGGCACAGCGCCTGCCCTGTGGGTGGGCGCTGTTGGACGCCAGAATAGCCAGCTCAGCCCCACCAGGACTGACAAAGGTCATCTGAGCAAGACCCACGAATGCCTCCTTCGCCTGCCTCTTCATGGCTCTAGAGCGCCCCTCCCCAAAGCCCAAGAGTTGGGCTTGTTTGTGAAGAGCTGACAACTGTGACAGTGGGGAAAAAGGTTCTGCAGATGGTGAGATCCAAGCTCTAGGCTGGAACTCAGTGCTTTTATTTGTTTTTTTTTGTTTTTTTTTTTTTTTTTTTTGGTTTTTTTGGTTTTTCTCCGGAACCGGGAACC